AGTTTCCTCATCCCATTCATCCACAGCAGCCGCAACGTGTAACAGTTCGACGGCGGTTTCGACCAAGGAGACCGAATCAGCAGAGACAAGATTTTGCCCAAAATCAGCAACAGTTCTCTCAGCCAAAGCAACAGACTTTACAAGAGCAGTTTAACATGCCACCACAGCAGCCTACACAGCCAAATCCCATTCAGCAGCAATTTATCTCCCCTCAGCAGGAGCAGTTCGCCCAACAGTCACAGGAATCTGCTCGTCAGCAGCTTACCCAAGCTCCACCAAATACGCAGCAGCAAGTGGTGCAACCCCCACAGCAGCTCACCCAACAGAGACAAGTGCAGTTCAATCAGCAACGAGTGGGTGAAGCTCAAAATCAGTTCGCTCGCCCAGTACAGCAACAGCCTACTCAGGTCTTTACCCAAACATCACAAATGCCTATACGGCAACAGTTCACCCAGCCTCCACCGGTGCCCCTCGTCCAGCAACAGTTCACTCAGCAGCGGCAACAGCCTGCTCAGGAGCAGTTTACCCAATCGTCACAACTGCCTAATCAACAGCAGTTTATTCCCGTTCGACAACGGATAGAATCAGTTCAGCAAATTCAGGCTCAACTAAGGCAAAACCAGCAACAGTTCACCCAGCCGCCGTTGCCCGCTCAGCAGCAATTTACCCGGGAGCGGCAGCAACCTGCTCAAGAACAGTTTACCAGCCCACCACAGGTGCCGATTCAACAGCAGTTCACCCAGCCACCATCGGTGCGCGTCCAGCAGCGGTTTCCCCAACAGGAGCAAGGACAGTTTTTTCAACAGTTACCGCAACCTGCTCAAGAACGATTTACCCAACCACCACAGGTGACTAATCAACAGCAATTTACTACTGTACAACAGCGAGAGGAACCATTTCAACAACCACGGGATTTCCAACGACCAAGGCCAGCTAGACCGCAACAGTTTACCCCAGGACAGGATCAGGTAGCCCAACAAAGGCAGGATCAAGAACAATTTGCCCAACAGCGACAACGACCTACTCAGGAGCGGTTTATTCGCCCAACGCAGGTGCCATTCCGACAACAAACAGAACCGCCACAGTTGCTCGCCCAACAGCAATTTAACCAACAGCGAGAACAACCTGCTCAGGGACAGTTCACCCAACCACCAGAGGTAACTACCCAGCGGCAGTTTACTCAGGAGCGGCAGCAACCAA